TCTTCAGTAGAAACCTCACAGAGCACTTGGAGCATATTAAGTTGGTCTTGGATCTTTTAAGAGAGCACCAACTTTTTGCCAAAATGTCAAAGTGTGTGTTTGCAGCTCAGAAAGTGGAATATTTAGGGCATGTGATTTCTGTTGATGGTGTGGCTACTGACCCACAGAAGATCTCTGCTATAGCTGAGTGGCCTGTGCCTGAAAATATCACTAAGCTTAGAAGTTTTCTGGGTTTAGCAGGGTACTATAGAAGATTTATCAAAAGTTATGGTGTTATATGCAGGCCTCTGCATGATCTGCTTAAAAAGGGAAATTTCCATTGGTCACCTGAACATACAAAAGCTTTCCAGCAACTGAAACAAGCATTAACTTCTGCTCCTGTTTTGGCTTTGCCAGATTTTTCCAAGCCATTTGTTTTGGAAACTGATGCTTCAGGAAAAGGGATTGGGGGCTGTTCTAATGCAGCAAGGAAGGCCAATATCTTTCTATGGTTCATCTTTATGCCCTAGGAATGCAGCTCTGTCTACTTATGAAAAAGAGGCTCTAGCAATTTTGGAGGCACTAAAAAGGTGGAGGCACTACTTGCTAGGGAAAGAGCTCATAATTAAAACAGATCAGCAATCACTGAAATTCATAACTGATCAAAGAATCACTGAAGGAGTTCAGCACAAACTAATGATGAAATTGTTGGAATTTAATTTCACAATTCGGTACAAAAAATGTATTCACAACAAGGTGGCTGATGCCTTGTCAAGAGTTCTTCCTAAATGTATGGCTATCTCTGTAGCTACTCCTGTTTGGGCAGAAGATCTGGTGCACAGTTACCAACAGGATCCTAGTAGTGTGCAACTGTTGGAAAAATTGATGTTAAACAAGGATAAGTCACTGTCAGACTACTCCTTAACATCTGGAATTATTAGATACAAAGGAAAAAATTATGTGGGTAACAACCCTGAGTTAAGGTATAAATTGATTGTGGCCCTACACAGTTCTCCAGTGGGGGGCACTCAAGAAGGAGAGCAACATATCACATGATCAAAAGCATCTTTTATTGGCCTGGTATGAAAACAGCTATAGAAAATTTCATTGCAGCCTGCCCTGCTTATCAGAGAGCAAAGCATGAAACTTGCTTGCAACCTGGTCTGCTTGAACCTCTTCCAGTGGCTGACATGGCCTGGCAGCATATATCCATGGACTTCATTGAAGGACTACCTAAATCTCAAGGAAAGGATGTGATCATGGTGGTTGTGGACAGGTTTACTAAATACTCCCACTTCATACCCCTGTCCCACCCTTACTCAGTGCTCAGTGTAGCCCAATCCTTTGTGGATAACATTATTAAGTTGCGTGGTCCCCCAAAACTAATTATCTCTGACAGAGACAGAATTTTCACCAGTCAGCTTTGGAAAAATATCTTCTCTGCACTCAATGTGGAACTAAGGTTCAGTACTGCTTATCATCCACAAACAGATGGCCAGACAGAACATGTAAATCAGTGTTTGGAGACCTATTTAAGATGCATGACTACATCTGCTCCAACCAAGTGGCTTTCTTGACTATCCTTAGCAGAATTCTGGTATAATTCCACTTATCATACAGCCATTAAAATGTCTCCATTTCAGGCTCTCTATGGATTTCCCCCACCTCTCATCTCAGAACTGGCAATACCTGGGCCTGATGATGAAGAAGAACATGATTTTTTAACTGCCAAGCAACAAATACTGCAACAACTTAAAAGAGAATTTGTTGGTCGCACAGAACAGGATGAAGAAATATGCAGACAATAAGAGGGTGGAAAGAAGCTTTCAGGTGGGCGATCCAGTGTACTTGAAGATGGCTCCGTACAGATTAGCTGCATTTGGGTTCAGAGGAGCACTGAAACTACAAAATAGATTCTATGGTCCATTTTTGGTGCTTCAGAAAGTAGGCAAAGCAGCTTACAAGTTGCAGTTTCCAAAAGATGTACAGATCCACCCAGTGTTTCATGTGAGCCAGTTGAAGAAACACATTGGGGACAAATCTATACCAGACCCTAACTTACCATTGGTAAATGCGGATGGGACAATCAAAACAGGCCCAGAAGAAGTGCTGGAGGTTCATCAAGTTCCACGACAGAACATGCCCGTCGTCCAGTGGCTTATCAGGTGGATAAACCTGCCTCCTGAAGATGCAACATGGGAAGACGCAGACTTCATCAAATACACCTTCCTGGAGTTCTTCAGCTCTACTACTCGCGCTTGGAGGGAAGCAGCGGCAACGCCGTGAGGACACGTCGACACTCAAGGGGGGAGCAATGTCAGGACTGCAGCGGGAAGTGTTATTTCTTTAGTTAGCGCTAGTTGCGGCTACAGATAACGATTCAGTAGATGGAGGGTTGAGATCGAGCCTCGCTTTACCGTTCTCTGTCGACCATTAGATGTCTACTGTTCCGTTTCAGTCGTTACTGTTATGTTTCACCTGTTGCCGGGAGGCTTTCCACCTATAAAGGCAGCCGGGTTGTGGCTGGCCAGAGCATGGAATCTTCTCTATGAATTGCCTATATGGCCAACTACTCTACAGCTAATACACACACAGCCCGATCTGGGTGAACTTTTTCCCAATTCGTCTTCCATCTCTCTCTCCTTCTTGATCATTTCTATAGCTTGATCCTGACAGCCAGGCGGCATGACGGCGCCAGGCCGAGCTCACGGCAGGGCACGGGGTGCAGAAGCAGAGCGCGAGGGAGCGGTTGTCTGCGGTGACGGGCAACGGCAGCGTCCTGCCTAGTGCAGACAAGCTGCTCGACAGAATGTCAGAGAGAGAGAGAGAGAGAGAGAGGTGTGTCTGCGCGGTGTCAAAGTTTATGCCATGTCAGCCCATCAGAAACAGTATCAATGTGCGTTTAGTGACCAATTAGCGTTTTTCAAAAACTGTCGTCACAATGACGACGGTTGTCTGAATAAGGGTCCCCAGTTGTGATGATTTTTTGCAATTTACCTCTCGTATGCCTGACGCTATTCTTTGTAGCTAGCATAGCCATGCCATCAGGCCAGTCCAACAGGCCTACAACCCATATCCATCACCATGGCGGTTTCATCGACGAGTACGACACACCCTGACATTGCCAGCCTGAATGATGAAGATGTCGGTTGCTCGGCCACATGGGAGGAGAGTACGGTCAGGCGCTAACTTTGCCCACGTGATTTTGTTTTTCTATCAGGTTCCTAATAAGTCATCCCATCACAAAATTTACAAGCACCTACAAGACTCGAGCATCTTTGGTGCCTGAAAATTTCTGATTTTTTTGCTATTTTTTAAATTTATTATCCATAAGTAGAAGCAGATGCAACCGTGCACGAAAAATGCTGCATTCCACACTTATCACAATCAATAGTACTTTATGCAGGTACTCTCTTTGATGATGTAACCCCTATGTAAAACTCTCAAAATTTGTGTATATCTTCCACTGCGGGACTCGTACAGCCATGAGAAATATATTCAGGTAGGTCACCCCATCCTCGTTGATTGCTCGAAAAAACAAAAGCAAAATCTATTGATGATAGCAAATAAAGGGAGCATTTGGGTCCTCAGCAAGATTAGTTATAGCCTTATCAGAGGATGCTAGAGGCTTAGTCCTCTATTGATGATAGCAAATAAAGGGAGCATTTGGGTCTTCAGCAAGATTAGTTATAGCCTTATCAGAGGATGTTAAAGGCTTGGTCCTCTGCAATGCAGCTTGTTTGGTGGTACATCTGAAAATAGAGAAACGAATGCATCTTCCGGCACACGGCTTCTAACCCCTCGGTTGTTATGTCGTGCACCGCCAATGAAGTTTCTATGTGGTCGGCTGCTGATAAGCTGAAGATTGTTAGGCTGATACAGACCATGAAAACTTGACTAGCTGGGCTAACAACCTTTAGCTGATGGCAAGGTTGCCTCTGAACATATTCGATGCTCTGTTCCTTTGGTTTGAGAGTAATCCGGGATGCAACTTGTTTGGTGGTATATTTGAAAAGAGGGAAATGGACGCGTCTTCCGCCAAATGACTTCTAACCCCTTTGTTTTGTTGCGCATCATCAAGGAATTTTCTATGTGGTTGGCCACCGGTAACCTGAAGATTGTTGAGCTGATATAGACCATGAGAACCTTACTAATCACTAGGTGGGCTAACAACCTTTAGCTGGTGGCAAGGTTCGCTCTGAACATTGCCGATGCTCGGTTCCTTTGGGTTGAGAGTTAATCCGCGTCATTGCAAATTGTTTGCTCTTGATTGATTTCTCCATAGAAATAAAAAAATTAAAGAATACAACTAGCTAAGTGGCAGAGCAGATTTGATCTTGCACCAACCAAAAAAGAGCATATAGCTGGACGCCCACCGTGGGGCTCAAACCCACGACCACAAGGTTAAAAGCCTTGCACTGTACCAACTAAGCTAGACGGGCGCTTTTGTTTTGTAAATAAATTCAATCCGCTTTCTGTCTGCTCAGTTTTGGTGACTTCGCTGCGAACACCTCCGACTCCGAGGCATCCACCCACCATCTCGAGTCATGCAACACCATTCTCCATGCCTAACTTGCAGTTTCTATTTTCGTTCGTTCATTCACGATGCTTGTCTTTTTATTTTCATTTTTTCCTTTTTGCGATCACATCGCGCTCATGTCCGACCAACGCTAGGAAAAATAAGAAAAGAACCAAAATACTGTGCAAGAACTGAGGTCATATGCGCACTGCACATACCACATCACACCGAATCATCGTCTGTACCTAACAAGCCAAACAAGCGACTCAGAACACATTCCCCAGAACCAGAATCACCAAGAACTAGGCTAACCAGTAACCACAATAGTTTCTGGTAGTGCTCATCTCAAACTCAAAGCCCTACAAAATTTTACAGAAATTATACACAAGCTCGATCCAAGAAGGAAGGAAGCCATGGCTGTATGTACAGAAGGGGCCAGACATGGTCAAATGCTATAGGGCCAACTACAGAGCTACAAGACCGTGTTGCACAGAAGAGTTTGCTACAAAAGCCTAGACGCTATCTCCTGAAGCAGAGCACTCTTCTGCGAGGCCGAGATGGTGCCGCTGTTCTCGGCGTTCTCCAGGATGTCGGCCATTATGGACGCGGCGTGGCTTATAGGCTCTTCAGAGACTCTCTTCAGCATGAAGGCCTTCATAAGAGAAACACATGTGTAAGCCAGGTAGGAAGAAAGCACGGTTAAACTTATGCAAACGAGGGAGAGACCAAACCTGGGCGTGATGAGAAACTTCTATGGTGCATGGCTCCTGAGACCATGGCTCTCCATCGACTTGGATGGGCATCGGAGTAGTGATCTCAATCTTTATATGATGCCCTTGAGCCAACCTTTGCGCGCGAGAAAGCCCTACCTATAGCAAGATTATCATATCAATACACAGTCCACACTGAATATATATATCACAAAAAAAACCCTGAAGTCTATAAGAACCTGCAGCCTTCCAAGATGCAGCATTCCTGTGAAGCTAACTACTTCCAGCGTCTTGTCATGCATGGATTGAGGTTGGAAAGTGTCGGAGACACTATCCTCATTCTTCCACAGGTCAACCCCTCCCATGTAGCTCCGGATGTTGGCCACAAGGATACCTTCGGCGTCCTGCAACAGGAGAAATGTGACAAGGAACAGGATGTAGGCTAAATCTTTTTCTTCCAATTTGGGGACAGCTAACCACACTTGCCATGTAGTGGGCATTGCCTAAACGGGATATGCTTCTACATTACTCCATCCAAAAGGGATACCAGATATGCCAAATTACTCCCTCTGTATCAAAATATAAGATGTCCTCTGACACTATCAGTGTCAAAAAGTGTCTTATATTTTCATACGGAAGGGAGTAATTTTTAGAACATGAACAATCAAATAGCAGCAACCATCTTAACAGATCACGTTCATCACTGTTGCATAAACTTGGTCTCTTCGTTTATTATGTCTTGCAGATATGCCAATGCAAGGTTATGTGCTCACTAAGACACATACAAGAGAAAAGGTAAGAAAATGTGATCCACTTTTACCTGAGGAATTTCAATGTTGGATCCATCTATCTCAAGCTTGACTTCCCAAGGAAAATAATAGAACATGTTATCCATGATATTCTTTGCGCCTTCTTTTGCATAAAGCACTTTATTCATGAACTGCAGAGAAACTAAATCATATTGCTGTGACAAAAACAGATATGCAGCTGTAAATACAGAACGATGTAGAATAGGGAGATAGCAAGTTGCAAGCATGGAATCTGCAAATAAAATTACTATTTATGGATCAATCATAGCAAGAAACCTTAAGAGTGAGCAACTGAGAAAAAGAAAAGGAGAACAAACTATCCAGAATGTGCAAATTTCCACAAAGTACCCAAGAAATTAGAAAAGGAAAATTCTAAATTACATGACTCATCCATCAACTATTTTCATTCAACAAATCTGCTAGGTTGAACACTTGTCCCAACACTTGACCAGATTCCGCATGCCCAATGCCAATACATCGCCTAAAGATCCCCAAACGAGTAGCAAAGCCACAGTGGCTCAACAAAATCATCAGTGCCATTTCAAAACTAATTATTTCTTTTCAGGCTAGAACATTACACTAACAGTTTGTATGCTATCATTAGCAGCTGGACACACTAAATTTTTACAAATCGAAAACGTTTTGATAAATAGACAAGAGAAAAATAGACAAATATCTCGTCTTGTGATTTAAAGAGAAGCATAAAAACCATTAGGATCAAAGAAATTCAACACTCTAAAACATGTACGTTCACCATGGATGATCGATGTAGTTTTCTATACCATAAGTACCCTTACAACGGGAAGCTGAAAAAATTACATGTTGTTCCTTCCATTGCACACAACTAGCCATTCGATTACTTTTGGAAGGGGAAAATGAAAATGTATCATGGTGTAATGTTTCCACATGTCTGATTCTGCGCAACTGTGCAACCAAGCAAGAACACCAACAAGTTTACTTGCAATTAAAGGAAAAATGCCTTCCGTTGTGCACATAAGCGGGCGGGGAGCAAGCAAGGGTTACCTGGCTATAAAACCGTTCAGGGTTTTCCTCCCTCAGGTTGTGGATATCTAGAGCAACCTTTGCATCACAACCAACCCCTGAAAAAGTATCACTATTAAGTACTAAGGTATCTATAATGCAAGAACTATACAGGGATGCATTTGAGAAGAAGATGGATAAACGTACCAAAGTAATTGTTCATAAATTTTGGTGAACACATGAGCTTCCCTTGATTGTCCTTTATAGTGATCTTCCATCTGTCCAGAACAGTAACTGCCGCATGCTCGACATCTTTCAAAACTGAGAATAAACCTCCCCGCTTTTCAACAACACCAAGACCACCACCCCAAGACAAAACCCTCGCAAGATCGTTGCCAGTACCAGCTGGAAGGATGGCTACAGGAGGTGGCGCTTCAAACTTTTGTTTCTCAATGGCATCCAAAACCCAACCAGCCGTGCCATCACCACCACAAACAAGAATTTTGAAGTGAGGTACCTTCCGAAACAAAGATAAACCAACTTCTGGTCCTTGATGCTTGCCCAACTCAAATACCTACGGAAGAGTTAGCACTTAGCAACCCAAATGTGAACTCTAGTTTTATTACTCCTGCCAATCCATAGTAATTGTCGCTTGTACTAAATCAGCAACATTTAATATGGATCAGAGGGAGTATAAATAAATGGGCCAAATCCATAAGATTGAAATGATTAAGAATTGCCAGATGGAGCATTAATTGAATTCTACGCAAGGAATTTGCAATCATGCACTAGAAATCATAATAGTATAACAAGTGACACATAGCATTAAGTTTTGAACAAAATAAGCTGGGACAGGATTATTCATGCTATGGCACAGAGCTTACGCCCTTCAGAGATACTATACACGAGTTATGTGAATGAAAGTTCATATACAGTATGCTAGAAATAAATCAAATAAGCAGCATTGATCTGAGCAACTGAAGAAAGAAGAGCACATTATTTAAAGCTGGTAAAAGTTTAAAGGCAATAACTAATTGCTACACCAACCTGTAAAGGATTAAGAAGGATCTGCAGGCGCTGTCTCAGTGAATCGCCACTCTGGGCACCACTTCTCTTGTTAATGAAAACTAGCAATGGCCTAGAATCAGAAGGCACGTCCACAATTTCATATTTTTGATTATTCTGGGCATGGGACATCTCATGCTGGCCATTTGGCCTGCTAGTAGCGTTATCCGCTATGAACTGTTTATCTTTTTCCGATTCAGTGCTTTGATGCACTTCATGAAGTTTACCATTGACATGATCATCTCTCTTAGCAGTGGTGTTTGATCCTTCTGAGTCTCCGTCAGTGTCAGATTGTGGCTCAGCAGTCCCAGGGCTCTCTGGCTGAGAAGGACCAATGTCTTTTTTGTACCTTTTGCTACGAATTCTAATCGTCTCCCGCACAGTGGAAGCCAATTCATTAGCCCCACTTGTGATAGAACTGAAAAGTCCTGTTGCACCTGTCCTATGAAGCTCCTTGACACACAGAGGTGATAGTATCAACCGTTTCAATGGGCCCAAGTCACAGACATCACCAGTTTCCTTGGCTAAGTTGTTGTGGCAATCAACATGCACTATCCGTTGACACCACATACAGTACCAAATTGGAGACCCTGCGAGAAAAGCTCCACTGCAAGATTCATCACAGTAGCAACAGAATGAGTCTTCTTCAGATCGATCTGCTGTGTCAATCCACTGGACAGCCCACTGGTGAATGACATGGTCAAGACCAACCATAGAAACGCATTTGCAATCTTTGTGTGCATTCCCTGAGCAACTCGGATGTGCAGTGGCACCACAAATATCACACTCATGGATAGTCCCCCCCAAATACTGTGGCGGTGAAACAGACTTCAAGCATACACAGCATTTCAGACCTTTACTGCGAGAGCCAAGTTCTTTCCTCCAAATGTGGGAAGCGGCAGGGACCTTGTCTTTCAGTTTCTTGTACTTCTTTGCCCTAGCTCTGATAGCTTTCATCAAGCTCAAGCTGATGTTTTTGTTCAACTGATTGATGGTATAATAAATTGTCACGCCACCTACCAATGCAAAGATGACAGTAGCAGCTATGACAGACCAATACTCTGACAGGTAGGCCGAAATGTCACTCCAGCTTGGAAGCGCCATCCTGTACATTTCTGCAATGTGGTAGCATGGCAGTTAATTGGGTAAATACATTTTCGATGGAAAATGATGGCTGTATGGTGCTATCAACAAGTTTTTCGGCTGACTCTAGCGATGAGCAAAGATAAACTAGTCCATCCATGAAAAAAAAGATAACTAGTGCATACCTATGCAAAAGTTGGTATCTACTCCCTCTTGCCTCATAATATAAGACTTGACACGGTGTGTAGTCAAAAAACGTCTTATATTATGGGACAGAGGGAGTAGCAAATAAATATACCACACAATTATCATGTGTGGGCCATGACTGCACTTGTTATTGTTACTGCCAGTGTCATTCCTCTATACTGCAAGAGATACAATGAGAGTATGGACCACGATATTTGGTACCGCCTCGTGTTCCTAGCCAAGTGGAAATGCCAAAAACTATTGCCTATGTTTTGAAATAAAACCCATGGTGACATTTGGTTACTTGACAATGTGTTCTATCTCCGTGGATTGTTGTGCTTCCTGAGAAGCTGGAAGAATCTGTTCCAGGAACCCTTGATCAAAACGACACACAGCACACAGGTAGGCCCAGGATCCCGCCCGCTGCTAACAACTCGCCCAATCAATCCACCACGCACGAACCAGCACCCCACACCACACCCTAGAAGTTCATCCTCCATCCCTCCCTCCCCGACGGCCCTGGAAACAAGCCACAAAACAACAAACCAAACCCTGACGGACCTAGAAACAAGCAACGCCACCTCAGGTAGGCAGCCCTCGCCGGAACCCTAAGTCCCCGGTCCTCCCGTCGCCATGAACCCCCGAAATGTTCCTTCTCGTGCTAATTGGGGAAAAACCGTGCAGGGAGGGAGAGATACCTCGCGGGGCCGCGGGCGGGCGGCTCGTCGGGCGGAGCGTGAGACCGGGATCGCGGCTTCTTCCCCCTCCACCTCCTCTTCTTCTTCCCCAGCCCCTCCTCCTCGCTCACATTGCGTCGGCGCGCCCCCGCGATTCCGATTCCGACATCTCCTCCGCCTGCTGCTCCTCCCGCTCCTCCCCCTCCTTTCCCCTCCGGTTTGATGCTGCGGAAAGGGGCCAGAAGCCGCGGAGCCTGTCATAATACGGGTCGGAAAAAGGTTAAGAGGGATATTTAATCCGTGTTAGTGAGTTGATCACGACACTTTGTGGCGTTCGGGGGTCGCGGGCCACGTCCACCCGCGCGATCTGCGCCGTTGGCGGGGCGACGGACGGGAGGGATCGGGTGATCTCGGGGCGAGCTTTCCCTCGGGAGTGTGATTCGTTGCCTGATTATTAGTTTAGCGGTGTGGTATGGGCGGTCTGTTGGGCCCACCTGCAGCGGGACGGTGCGCCCTGGCCGAGAAGCTTCGTGAGTAAGCCAATGCTTTCGCTGCTGTTGGTGCGTGCTACGCGCACCCGGGCGCGATGTCGGTGGTGGCTGGGTTGGGGTCACTGGCCAGCGGGCCTACAGTTTGTACTTTCTAGTCCAGAAAAAAAAAACAGTTTAAGAGCATGGTTTGTGCTTATAAAGAAAATACTTCCATTGGTGTGGTACTTCCCTCTCTCAGGAGGCTTAGGGCAGTTCTTTTGGGCAATTTTCCCAAAATTGACCCCCTTCCCAGCTTTTTTCAGAATTGCCACTCCATTTTTTTTATAATGACTCGTTGCGTCATTTGGCACAGACACAATTACAAGGTGAAAGGTAAGTGAACTATTTGAAACATAATAAAATTAAAGTGAAGTGAACTGTTTAAAATGTTGCGAACGATTACATTCATATTGCATCTCTATTTTTTTTCTTCACAATGATCATTGCTCGTAGGTTTCTTCTGCGATTTTCCTTTGATGACATGAGACAACAACCCTCAAGTGAATGGGCGCCGAGAGACCAACTGAAAGACAGAAATTAAGTAAACTATTTAAAACATAAAAGAGAAGTTAAGTGAGCTATTTGAAGGGCCAATGATACGTCTTCAATGTATCTATAATTTTGATTTTTCCATGCTATTATATTATCTAGGATGTTTTATATGCATTTATATGCTATTTTATATAATTTTTTAGGACTAACCTATTAACCCCACTGTCAGTTTCTGTTTTTTCATTGTTTTTGAGTTTCGCAGAAAAGGAATATCAAACGGAGTCCAATTAAGCCGAAAATTTACGGTGGTTTTTTATGGACCAGAAGAAGCCCTCGAAGCAAAAGAGTTGGGCCAGAAGATCCACGAGGC